CTATGCCACCATCTTGGTTTCTCCCCTCAAAAGAAATTTCAATCATTGTACTATTGATATTTATCTCTGTTTACTCATGAGTTTGCCAACCACTGCACTTGAGGCCCAGTGCACAAAATTTGTGCATGGGAGGTGGGGGCGTCCCTCAGCCTAGCCTGCACCCTCACCAATCCAGGACCTCTCATGAGATTTCTGACTGCCTCTTGGAATCTGGGACTGTTGGCTCCTAACTGCTCAACTGCCTGCGTGCCTGATCGCTCCTAACCCCTCTGCCTGCTTGCCTGATCATCCCTAACCACCTCTGCCTGCCTGCCTGATCCCCCCAAACTGCTCTCCTACCAGCCTGATTGCTCCTAACTGCTCCCCTGCTGGCTTGATCACCCTTAACTGCCTCTGCTTCGCTCCACACCTGAGACCTAGGATTTCCTCCTTCGGCCAGTCGCAGGCACCTAGGACCCAGGGTTTCCTCCCTCTGTCCAGCGCAGGCACCTAGGACCCAGGTCGGCCACAGCCACAGAGTACTGTAGGTGGACAGCTTTGCTAAGGCCACAGCCTGGGACTGTGGGGCAGGTGGCTTATTCCTCTCCCAGGCTGCAGGCGCAGGCATAGATGTTGGCACCCAGGACCGTGGTGTAGGCGGCTTACCCCTGTCCCAGGCCACAGGTGGAGATGCAGCCGCTGGTGCCCAGGACCTCTCCAGGCCACAGGTGTTGGAACCTGGGACTTGGGGGCAGATGGCTTGTCCCTCTCCTGGGCCACAGGCGCAGATACAACCACTGGCGCCCGGGATTGCAGGGTGGACGGCTTGTCTCTCTCCCAGGATGCAACCTGGCTGGTCCCCATTCCTCTCTCACGAGCTCGTTTGTGCCTTGCTGTTCCTCATTCCTCTCTCCCCTGTGTTGATTTTCTGAGCCATTATGACATTACGGCATGAGGGTATGACAGCCATTTGCATATTAGCTCTTTATTATATAGGATATCCTATCTATGTTTTCTTTATAAGCTCTTCTCTTTCTGTTTTAGTGTGTATAATTGTGGCTGTCCTATCACTAATTTCTTTCTTTGGCTCTGTTGAGTCTACTGATAAAAAGCTGTTAAAGGCATTCTTCATCTGTTACTGGGTTTATTTATTTATAGCATTACCCTTTGACCTTAACAGTTTCCTTCTCTTTGCAGAAATTAATCTTAGTTTGTGCATGCACTTTTTTACTAGTGCTTTTTAAAAATTTAATATGTTGATTTATTGATTTCTAGAGAGAAATCAAGAGAGAGAGGAGATAAACATCAGTGTGAGAGTGAAACATCGATCAGCTGCCTCCTGCAAGCCCCCTATTGGGGATTGAGCCCTTAACCCGGGCATGTGCTTTACCAGGAATTGATCCAGCAAATTTTCAGTGCATAGGATAATACCCAGCCAACTGAGCCACACCGGCAAGAGCTTTACTAGTGCTTTTAACATATTAATTACAGTTATTTAAAAATATTTTCTTCTGCTAATAACAACATTTGAGTCATTTCAGTCTGGTTTTATTGATTGCTTTGTTTTGTCACAGTGGGTTTTGTGTGTGTGGATGGGAGTGTATATTTGTGGGGATAATTTTTTATTGAATGTTGGGCATCATTTAAAGATCAGTAGATACATCCTGGAAATGATACAAGTTTTCTGCTATATTGCTAGTATGGGAATTAAATCAATCTAGTCAGGAGTTTTGCTGTCTTCGTGGTTTGCTACAGATGAGCTAGTATTCATGTCCAATCTCTTCTTGGAAGCACCTATCTTTCCTTAGGTTTCATTTAGGATATTTGGTAGCCCTATAACCTCAGCTCTCTGATGGGTTCCAGGAAAGTTACAATTTTATCTTTTATCTACTTTTTTCTCATTGTCTGATGGGAGAGATGCTCTTTCCAGCTTTCTACATCCTAATCAGAAGTAAAATTACAGTGTTGTAAAGCCATTTGAAATAATTTCTTTCTGTGTGGTTGTGTATTTAATTGGACATACAGTAGATTCATTTGTTCAAATTTTCTTTCAGTTTTAAGGGACAGACTGCTTTTAAATTTTAATTTTGTTTCATATTCATGTGAACTATTTGTATGATTTCAAGTCTCTATCTAGATATCTATATAATAGAGAAATATGCTAATTAACCAGGACGCTATAATGGGTCAATCGGACAAGAGGAGGTTGCATGTGCAATGTTTGGGGCAGGGTGTCAGGGGCCTCCGCACTCCTGCGCTGCGGGGGAGGGGGAGGGTGAGGATCAGCAGTGTCTGCGGTGGCTTCAAGGGCCTGAGAGAGAGGCGGGGTCAGACCGGCAGTGGCCATGGCTGTTGCAGGGCCCGGGGAATAAGACAGGGCTGGACCAGCGATTCGAGAGTTGGCGGCACTATGTGATTTGAATTGCGCACTGGGCTCCTAGTCTATGTATAAAAGCCTAATATGCAAATTTTCCCCCTGGGGTTCAACTAGGAGTTCTATCACTTGCTATGATGTGTGCTTACCACCAGGGGGTGGTGCGGAACCAAGGAAGGCCCTGGCTGGCAGCTGGTAGCTGGGGAAGGAAGGCCCCAGATGGCAGCTGGGAGCCAGGGAAGGAAGGCCCCAATCAGCACCTGGCAGCTGGGGAAGGGAGGCCCCAGCTAGCAGCCAGAAGGCCCCAATCAGCTTGATCACTGGCCAGGCTGAGGGACCTTACTCATGCACGAATTTCATGCACTAAGCCTTTAATATATACAGAATAATAAGTATATTCAGAGAAGCTTTTCTTCTCCCTGTCTCCTCAACCTTAATTTCTCTTTTTCTCAGTAAGCTGCCTCATTAAAACAAAAATTATAATTTATTTCTTACATTACATATGATTGTTTCTTACACATTTCTTTCATTTAAAAAATAACATTCAGATATGTGCAAGTATTTGTGTCTCCTTTTTCTTAGGTAAATGGTAGCATATATGGTATACAAACTTCTCCACATTTTTTTAAAATTTAAAACTTCACACTAGTTCTTTAGAGACATTCTCATTTCTTCCTACAGCTGCATGGTAATCCATTATGTGGACTTACCATACTCGATTCAACTAGTTCTCTGTTGATGAACATTTGGTTATTCTCAGGTTTTTTGCTTTTACAAATAGTGTTGTGATGAATAGCCTTGTGTATATATGATTGTTTGTATTTTTTGCCATTTTATCTTTAGACTCTTTTAAAAGTAGCATTGCAGAGTTAATAAGTGATTCATATACACTTGTGAGATATTGCCAGATTTATTTTCAATAGTACCATTTTGAATCCCCACAGAAATGCGTGAGTGTTCTTTTCTCTGTGGAGCATGTTGAGAAACTAGGATTTTTGCCAATCTAACAGGCGGATATATATATAAAATTCATTTCAGAGAGGAAGGGAGCAAGATATAGAAACATCAGTGATGAGATAGAATCATTGCTTGGTTGCCTCCTGCAAGCCACCTACTGGGGATTGAGCCTGTAACCAGGCATGTGCCGTGACCTGTAATTGAACCTCCTGATTCATAAATCGACTCTCAACCACTAAGCCACACTAGCTGGGTGAAGTGGAGATTTTTATTTCAAGAAGTTTTAATTTGTATTTTTCTTAATAGTATGATTGAGAAGTTGCTTTTTATAAGTTCTTTGAACAACCTTATTTTTCTTAAAATTTCAATATACTTGTATTTTATAAACATACAACTGTTGCCCAGAAAAATGTTCTGCCTGTTAGGCCAATAACCATAGAAGAAGGTACTGCTTTTATTTTCTTAGTGATTTGTAGATTCCAGAGTTTCAATCATAATAATCAAATTTGGCAGATGACCATAAGAGTTTAAAGGTTTGCAAATGTGCAGTTCACTTTGGAAATAGTACTTGATCTATGGTTGCTAGGTAACCTGGTAAAAAGAGTGCAGATCAAGGTGGATGCTGCTATAAAAAATAAGGATGGAGTGGGTCAATGGGCAATAAAAAGGGGACATCTGTAATGCTTTCAACAATAAAGATAAACTTTAACAAAAACCCCCACATAATATCCCAGAAAAAAGGAGGGTTGTAGATCAGGATATATTTTGCTATTTCCCTATTCTTCCCAGTTACCCTTTGTCTTCACATGATGCTCCATTTTAGCTAGCAGAGGCCACTAAGGAGTAGAAATGCAACAGAATTGTGGCTGTGCTAAAATATGATTGCTGAAAAGTCACCAATAGCCCTGTGGTCTTGCTAGCTTGTGTCATGTGAAGATTTCATGCTTGGAATAAAGCAAATTGCTGGAAGCCAATTCCAGCATGTCATAATTGCAAGAGTTTCATTAAAATGTTGATGGAACTTGGGGGCTCAACAAGGACTGAGTCACATACACTATTGCCTATTAGGAATGGCTGAAGGCATTTCCCCAAACTTGAAAAGGATGATTGTTTGCTGCCAGACAGCTCAGGGCATCTTAATCTACATGTTATTGCCTCCTACTGGCCAAACACCTGAACCAGCCATAGGCTCTTCCCCAATTTGACAATGCTTCCATACAGAAACCCTACCTTTTGAAGTGTATATCTCCACCTTGCCTTAGGACAATTTGTGTTAATAAAAAGCAAGGGGTCCTGAGACAAAGAGAACTTGGTTTCTTTAGCCAGGTTCCTCTGACCTCCAATGCCTTTCAAAATTATCTTTCGTCTCTGGGCTCTTACTTAAGTTACACATAGACTTTCTCCAGAATGCTGAACCCTTCTTAATGCCAGAACAAGAACCCTGACACCAAATATTTGAGGGCAAGTATCTATTTCATTTTCATTATACTTTTTTCCCATTATATGTCATTTCCTTTGAATGAAAAGGAATAAACATTTGAGGTTTTAAGTAACTACATTGTTTGTCTAGTGAGCTTTTACTTTAAAAACTGTATAAAACCCTACAAAAAGACATAGTCCCTACTCTCTAAGAAATGGTGATACCTTGGAGGAATGACAAGCTTTTAATGTTTTTTCTAACTCTTATCAGTTTGCAGGCCTTTCAGAAATATCTATCTCACAAGACATCCCTGTGGAAGGAGAAATCACCATTCCTATGAGATCTCGCATTCGGGAACTTGACAGCTCCACATTAAATGAATCGGTTCAGAATACCATTGTAAGTTAGACTAGTTAAGAGAATTTCTGTTTAATGTCAGGGGACTAAATAACTAATAGCTCTTTGTAATATTTTTGTTTGGTTCGTTTGATCTTCAGTATAATTTATTTATTGAAATTTCAGATGCTTTCCTCGAGAATTATTTGGCACAGGCTATCTGAAAATCAGTTTGGCTATAATGAATATTAAGAATCTTAAAATTTCCAAATATTTTTATGCTGCTTATTCTGCTTCTTCATAATAGTATAAAGACATTTTTTTAAAATAGGAAACTATTTTTTAAAAAATACTGAGAAATATTAATATGCAAAGATATTCATTACAGCATTCTTTATAATAGGGAAAAGTTGAAGAACAGGTTATGTTACACCTATGTGGTAGAATGCTAAACAACCATTAAAAATCATATTTAACACAGAATTATTAATGATATGAGGAAATTTCTAGGTGAAAATTTAGGATGGAGTTATCTCAACTATATTTTGAGTGGTTATATTGCCATACTCTTTCTCAAATGTCTTGATTATTAGTTAATCTGGCTTCTAGTATTTATTTGCCAGTAAAACTGGGAATGTTGAAAATAATTTATTTTATATATTGTGGAGAATATGGTGGCCAGGGAGCAAGCTAATTGGCCCTTGGGATGTCATTATGTATAAACTGAAATCCAGATGCTGTGTTTTACAGACAGATTTTAGTTTCTATAAGTAACATATTAGGAGAGCTATATTTCTCTTTTACAGTTTAAAAAATCAAAACAGAACCGGTGGATATGGTAAAGAGATGTAAGCTTAAGGAGTTAACAGAAAAAAAATACCTGTCTCTGGGTTATATAGTGAAAGGGCTGAATTAGAATTTTAACTCTAAAATTCAACAAAGGCCTCCCAGGAAATTGAAATAAAGGAGATTTTAGCAAATTAAGTTAGGGGGCTGCCTGGCAACCTTGGTTCTCACAATATAATAGTTGTGTATGTCTTTCAGATGCGTGATCTAAAAGCTGTTGGGAAAAAATTCATGCATGTTTTATACCCAAGGAAAAGTAATACTCTCTTGAGAGATTGTAAGTATGAGGTTTTTGAGGATTTGCTGCTTCTCATCATACCTTATCATAAGTACTTTATAAGGCACAGGCTTTGTGGTAGAAAAAAAAACAAACCCAAAAACTGATAACACTTTGCAATATGAAAAAGTATATAAATGAAATTTTTGGAAGAAATTAAAAGTTTAGAATGTAATTCCAGAGATTGTCCTCACCAATAATATACACTATATCCTCACCTGCTATAATTGACACTGTAAAAAGTATTTCTAGAAGCTGTAAACACATAGGGACTTTGTTCAACCAAAGAGCTAACAATCCCCAAGAAAAAGGCAAAATGTTCAACTGTTAAATTAGAATAATAGCTAATACCCATTAAGGGTTAACAAATTAATAGTACCTTTATTGACATTTCTATTTTTAGAACTATCATTTAATCGGATGACTGCTTTGTTCAAGATTTCTATCGACAATGTTAGCAATAAGTTATGCTGTTATTTAGAATTCTTCAAATTATTAGACCTTTTTCTTATCAAGTACTATTGGTTTTCTTAGTATCTTTTGTTAGAAAACTTGAATTTGAGAATAGTAACAATTATGTTGTACATGAGTGTGTACCTTATATTTTTTATAGCATTTCAGCTGTATTTTAGGGATGTCAAATGTGTGACAATGTGCCATCACTCTGAATGAACACTGAATGCAGTGTCAGAATTTTTTCCAATGCAGTGTATTGTGGGCTGGAGCTGACAGATGATTTGCCACCATTGGTTTATAGTGGAAAGAACATGGACAAATCTTGGTTTAAATAGTGGTAGCTCCACTAGCTGTGTGATCTTGGAAAAGACAGTTAACTTTGCTGAGCTGAAGTTTCTTCCTCTGTTAAAGTGAAGATAATAGCATCTACCTTCTGGTAAGGGTTAGAGATGGTAGTGCATATCAACCTCCTTGCACAGCACTCCATAAATGCCAGCTATTACTCTAGTGCAGTGGTTCTCAACCTTCCTAATGCTGCAACCCTTTAATACAGTTCCTCATGTTGTGGTGAGTCCCAACCATAAAATTATTTTCGTTGCTACTTCATAACTGTAATTTTGCTACTGTTATGAATCGCAATGTAAATATCTGATATGCAGGATGTCTTAGGTAAGCCCTGTGAAAGGGTCATTTGACCCCAAAGGGGTCACGACCCACAGGTTGAGAACCGCCTCTCTGTTCCCTCAACACATTATCTTTTTTAATCCTTACAACAACCTTGTGAAGGAGGAGTTATTATTTGTGTTCTACAGATTAAGAAAATGAATCTCAAAGAAGCTGAGTGCCTTGTTAAGATCACACAGGCTGTCTAGTATTTTATATTTTTGAATTTGAAACTTATCTGTGGGATTCCTGGTCAGCCTAGAAAAAGAGACTTCTGTATAAAGAGAATTCACATTTGCATCTTGCAGATATCCTAGAATATAAGTAACGCAGGACCACTTAATGTTAATTTCTTAGCTCAATGTTTCCCACACAGGTAAGCAATGAATTGAAAACTGAATCCCAGATCAGTATGACAGCAGGCCCATGATTTTGAATTCTTAAAAAGACCCCTACACCACCACTCAGTGCCCAAGCCAATCCAGACACAAAAACTGTCTTAAATTCCATTTTTTCTAGTGAACTTTTTTTTATAGTCTTCCTAGATCTTGGAGAAAGTCACTGCCTAGAGCAGGTGTTTTTAAACTGGCCAAATTATTTAATGTCTTTGAGCTTCAGTTTCCTCTTCTAATTAGGAATATAACATGTGTCCTTTATTGTCAATGAGAGCATAATAACTGCATTCAACAAATAGTGGCTTCTTACTAAAATATTTTTCTGTTCTCATCCTAATGATTAAATTGGATTATATCAGATTACTGGAGGCCTGATGCATGAATTCATGCACCAGTGGGGTTCCTCTGCCTGGCCTGTGGGGTTCAGGCTGAAACCGCTCTCTGACATCCCCTGAGGGTTCCCAGATTACAAGAGGACTCAGGCCAGGCCGAGGGACCCCCACCAGTGCACAATTGGGGCCACGGAGGGATTGCGGGAGGGCTGTCTCACCCAGTCCTGATTGGCCAGACCCCAGCAGCAAGCTAACCTACCAGTTAGAGCATCTGTCCTCTTATGGCCAGTGTATATCACAGCAACTGGTCAAATGGTTGAACAGTTAAGAGGGACTATTAACTAACAGCATATTAGGCTTTTATATATAGAGATGGCTATAAGAATTAATTGCCCTGGCCGGGTAACTCAGTTGGTTAGAACATCATCCAGATACCACAAGGTTGTGGATTCAATCTCTAGTCAAGACACATACAGGAAACAACTAATGAATGCATAAATAAGTGGAATAGCCAATCAATGTTTTCCTCCCTCTCTCTGCTTCCTCTCTCTCTCTAAAATCAATAAATAAAATTAAGAAATCACACAGATAGGATTAGAATACAATTTTCAAGTTCAGCACCCTTTCCAATCTACCACTACAACTCCAGATGTGAAAATCCTTTTAAATGCTGCTCTGGTTCAGTTCAAAGCAAGGTTGCTTCTCACAATATAGAACCAGTGTGTTAGTTTGCTGATTAATTATGAATATTAGCTTATGTCATACTAGAGGCCCGGTGCACGAAATTTGTGCCTGGGATAAGGGGGTGTTCCATCCCACCCGGGTCGGGTCTAAACGGGAAGTCGGACATCCCTCTCACAATCCAGGACTGCTGGCTCCCAACTGCTTGCCGGCTTGCCTTCCTTATTGCCCCTAACTGCTTCTGCCTGCCAGCCTGATTGATGTCTAACTGCTCCCCTGCCAGCCTGTTTGCTCCCAACTTCCCTCCTCTATCAGCCTAGCCACCCCTAACTGCCCTCCCTTGCAGGGTTGATTGCCTCCAACTGCCCTCCCTTGCAGACCTGGTCCCTCTCAACTGCCCTACCTTGCAGGCCTGGTCCCTCCCAACTGCCCTCCCCTGCTGGCCATCTTGTGGTGGCCATCTTGTATCCACATGGGGGAGCCATCTTTGATGACATGGGGGCAGCCATCTTGTGTGTTTCAGTGATGGTCAATCTGCATATTACTCTTTTGTTAGATAGGATGTTGAGGTATATTCTCAAACCTCATGGGGATAGATAGATAGGCTGGCACAAAGGGTGAGCAGTCATGGCCAAAATTTGCACTTTTGCCCTATCGTGTTATAGCTGTTGGCAAAGTAACAAGGAAAAAAAATTCACAACTTAAAAAATAATCTTTTAAAAAATATATATATTTTATTGATTTTATACAGAGAGGAAGAGAGAAGGATAGAAAGTTAGAAACATCCATGAGAGAGAATCATTGGTCATCTGCCTCTTACACACACCCTACTGAGGGTGTGCCTGCAACCAAGGTACATGCCCTTGACCAGAATCGAACCTGGGACCTTTCAGTCCGCAGGCTGGTGCTCTATCCACTGAGCCAAACTGGTTTCGGCACAACTTAAAAAATAATCTAAAAAAACAACAACCACTCTAACCGGTTTGCCTCAGTGGATAGAGCATCGGCCTGCAGATCGAAGGGTCCCAGGTTTGATTCTGGTCAAGGACATGCACCTTGGTTGTGGGCAATCCCCAGTAGGGGTGTGCAGGAGGCAGCTGATCGATGTTTCTCTCTCATTGATGATTCTAACTCTCTATCCCTCTCCCTTCCTCTCTGTAAAAAATCAATAAAAATATATGTAAACAAAACAATAATAATAATAAAAAAAACAACCAACAACATAATAAAATACCACTTCATACCCCTTTGGATGGCTGTTATCAATCAAAGAAACCGAAAATAACAAGTGTTGTTGGGGATGTGGAGAAATTGTAACCCCCTGTATGTTACTATTGCTGGTGGGAGTGTAAAATGGTGCAGCCACTATGGAAAACAGTATGGGCGGTTCCTCAAAAAATTAACCATAGAAGAATTCAACAATTCCACTTCTGGTTGTACATCCAAAAGAATTGAAATCAAGGATTTGAACAGATATTTGTACACCCATGTTCATAGGCATTGTTCACAATAGCTGAAAGGTGAAAACATCTTAGAACAGCAGTCGCCAACCTTTTGGACCTTAAAGACCACCAGTTGGCGACTGCTGCTCCAAAGGTTTCCTTAAACCAGAGGTTGCCAACCTTTCAGATCTCATGGACCACCAGTGGTCTGCAGACCACCAGTTGGCAACCACTGTCTTAGACATTTGTTGATGGATGAAGAGAAAAAATGTGGCATATACACCATAATATTTATCATAAATGGATAGAATATTACCCTTAACAATGAGTGAAATTCTGACACATGGATAAACCTTAAAGACATGCTGCTATGTGAAATATGTCAGATTAAAAAGGACATATATTCAATGATTTCCACTCAAATGAGGTTCCTAGAGTAATCAAATTGATAGAAAGTAAAGTGATAGTTGTCAGGGGCTGAGCGGAGAGTGGGGAGTTATTGTTTAATGGGTTGGAGTTTCAGTTTGGGAAGATGAAAAAGTTCTGGAGATAAATGGTGGTGATAGTTGCACAACAATTTACTCAGTATCTGTACACTTAAAAGTGACTAAAATTGTGAATTTTGTGGAGATTTTATATATATATATAACAACAACAAGAAAAGAGTTTTAAAATACTGTTACAGAGCCCTGACCAATTGGCTCAGTTGGTTGTAGCATCATCCAGTACCCTGAAACATTTGGATTCGATTCCCAATCAGGACACATACCCAGGTTGCTGGTTTGATCTCCAGTTGAGTTCACACAGGAGGCAACTGATTGATGATTCTCTCTCTCTCTTTCTTCCTCTCTCTCTCTCTCTCTCTCTCTCTCTCTCTCTCTCTCTCTCTCTCTCCCCCCCCCCTCTCTCTCTCTCTCTCTCTCTCTCTCTCTCTCTCTCTCTCTTTTTCTCTCTCTCAAAATCAGTAAAAACGTACTCAGGTGGGGATAAAAAAAACACATTTAAAAATACTGTTACAGATTTTTTACAAATTACAAAAATTTTCAGTGCATTTAAAAGCCAGTTTATTAATGTCAATTGTACTTGAAATCAGTTTTTCAGTTGATAAGTGTAGTGTTCTTTTAGATAAATCTATATATGTGAGGAAGGTAATAGTGCTCTAAGCTGCATATTATTGAATTGCTGGAATATTAATCACCAATCATTACTGATTGAGAATCACTGTGGTTAGACCTGATGTTGGCAGAACCTGTTATACTTTTCAAAAAGCTTTCATGTAATTTTTAAAGTTTAACCTTATAGTTCTGGCTGGGTAGACCAGCTGTTTGGAGCATTGTCTGGATGTGTCAGAGTTGAGGGTTCGATCCCCTGTTAGGGTACATACAAGAATTAACCAATAGATGCATAAGTAAGTGGAACAACAAATTAGTGTTTTTTTTCTCTCTCTCCCTCTAAAATCAGTAAATAAAATTTTAAAACAAGTTAAACCTTATAAAATTACCAATATTGAGCTGATTTTCTACCTTTAACAACAGCAATCCCATTTTAGTTCAATGGAGTAATTATAAAAGAAAAGCAGTGTGGCAGAGTGGAAAGAACTTCATAGTAGGAATCAAAAGACCTTGGTTCTGGCCCCACCTCTATACCTAACTGTTGATATAAACTTGGGAAAGTGACTTGCTTCTCAGCTATATTTTTCATACTAGAGGCCTGGTGCACAAAATTTGTGCACAGCGGGGGGGGGGGTAAGAGTGTCCCTCAGGCCAGCCTGCACCCTCTCCAATCTGGGATCCCTCTCACAATCCAGGACTGCTGGCTTCCAACTGCCTGCCTGCCTGACTGCCTTCCTGATTGCCCCTGACTGCTTCTGCCTGCCAGCCTGATCACCTTTTAACCACTCCCCTTTCAACCTGATTGAGGCCTAACGGCTCACCTGCCAGCCTGTTTAACCCTAACAGCCCTCCTCTGCAGGCCTGGTCACCCCTAACTGCCCTGCCCTGCTGGCTTGGTCCCCCCCATCTGCTCTCCTCTGCAGGCCTTGATCTCCCCACCCCAGCTGCCCTTCCCTGCAGGCCTGGTTGCCCCCAACTTCCCTCCTCTGCCGGCCTGGTCACCTCTAATTGCCCTCCCTTGTTGGCCATCTTGTTGTGGCCATCTTGTGTCCACATGGGGGAAGCCATCTTTGATGACATGGGGGCAGCCATCTTGTGTGTTGGAGTGATGGTTAATCTGCATATTACTCTTTTATTAGATAGGATAGAGGCCTGGTGCATGGGTGGGGGCCAGCTAGTTTGCCCTGAAGGGTGTCCCTGATCAGGGTGGGAGTTTCCTTGGAGCATGGAGCAGCCTGGGCAAGGGGCCTGTGGTGATTTGCAGGCCGGCCACACCCTCTGGCGACCCAAGTAGAGGCCCTGATATCTGGGATTTAATTATCTTCTATAAATGAAACTTTGTAGCCTTGAGTGGAGCCAAGCCTCCTGCGTGCTCCAAGGTCGCAGCCATTTTTGTTGGGATTTCTTTATCTTCTATAATTGAAACTTTGCAGCCTTGAGTGGAGGCCTGGGCTGGCCAGAGTGTGTGGAAAGCGTGGCTTCCTCCATTTCCGGGGAAACCCAAGCCTCTTGCTTGCTCTGTGGCCACAGCCATCTTAGTTGGGTTAATTTGCATACTTGCTCCTGACTGGCTGGTTGGCGTGGCTTGTGGGTGTAACGGAGCGATGATTAATTTGCAAATTACTCTTTTATTAGATAGGATTTGTGAGATGGGCCTGATTATGCTTGCCTTGTCTAATATAATCTCAGATTGGTGAAATTACTTGAGTCTAGTCTTTCTGAGGGTGCAGGATGGGGTATTCCTCATCCATTGGTCTTTAACTATAGCATTTTGGAATGGGACTTAGTGAGTGGGGAGAGGGGTAATTTGTGGGATATGAAATAAAACTTAAAGGATCTATAAAGAAGAACATTTAGAATTGGGGAGCAGGTAGGGCAAGGAAAGGGGTAATAGAGGAGGGAAGGTTTAGGCAGACAGTGCATTAATGTCTGAATTCCAAGAGTGGGAGAGGTAGCTATTGGCATAAAGATATAAAATACTGCATGGTTGTTTTATAACAGTCTTCTGTCTTTTCTTGCCTTATAGGGGATTTATGGGGCCCTTTGGTCCTTTGTGTGACACTCGCACTGTAAGTACACATATTTCCTTTGTCATTTGAGATATACTAAACTTTTTTGTGGAATTTTAAAATTGGGGAATTTTGACTGAATGTTTTATTTATGACTTCTATGACATATTATACTCCTTATGTATTTAAATCTAAAAAGTCAGGTAGCAAAAAAATAAAAATCCTAATATATAAAAAGCTAGGGGCTGTCATGAGCTAAACAACCAGATGAATGACCAAATAGCAGGTTGCATCGGGCAACCAGGCCAGCAGGTAGGTAAGTGAGGGTTGACCAAATAACTGAACAGCAGGCTGCATGGGGCGACCAAACTGGCAAGGGACTCACTGGTAGTGAGGGACGACCAAACAACTGAACAGGCTCTGTGGGTGACCAGGCCAGTGTGGGGGACATATGGGGGTGACCAGGCCAATGGGGGGGAAGTTGGGGGTGACCAGGCCAACAAGGGTCCAGTTGGGGGTTACCAGGCAGGCAGGGGGGCAGTAAGGGGCAACCAGGCCAGTGGGGGGGGCAGTTGAGGATGACCAGGCTGACAAAGGGGGGAAGTTGGGAGCAACCAGGCTGGCAGGGGGCAGTTGTGGGTGACCAGGCCAGTAGGGGGGCAGTTGGGGGCTACCATACTGTAAGGGGGGCAGTTGGGGGCAACTAGGGTGGTGGGGGGCAATGAGGGGCAACCAAGTTGGCAGGGGGTCAGTTAGAGGTGATCAGGCTGGCAGAGGGGGACAGTTGGGGGCTACCAGGCCGGCAGAGGGGGAAGTTGGGGCTGACCAGGCTGCCAGGGGGGCAGTTTGGGGCGGCAAGGCCGGCAGGGGGGGCAGTGAGGGGCGACCAGGCCAGCTGGGGGGCAGTTCGGGGTGATCAGGCTGGCAGGCAGATGAACAATTAGGAGCCATCAGTCCCGGATTGGAAAGGGTGCAGGCTGGGCTTTGGGGACCCCTTCCCCCACCCCCTCCGGTGCATGAATTTTGTGCATCGGGCCTTTAGTAAATAAAAAGTCAGGTACTTTCTAGATCAGTTCAAAGAGTGATGGAATTAAAGATGTAAAAATTATGTCTACCTGTGTTTACCAATGACTTCTTAGCATGTTTTAGCTATTCAACAAATATTTTATTCGTGTACACTTCCCTATCATTAATTTAATTAAATATCTATAGGTTAAAGAACTGTTTATTTGCAAACATAATTCTTTTTAAATCTTACTAATATATGAATGAGAATTTATTACAGAGAAGTGGTAGAGTTCAGAGCAAGATCACATTTCCAAGTGTGATGCTGTCCATATGCATTGTATGTAAAGGGAGACTCAGGCAGAAGGAGAGCAAAGTTCCATTGGAGATGGGAATATAACAAGGGGTAGAATGGAAAAAATACTGTACTAGGACTCAGTTCTTGATTCTCATCCTGCCTCCTATCAGCAAAGTGACTTTGGACTATTAGTAACCAAAATTTGTATAATGATTTTTCCTAGAAAATGTTTAAATGCCTTATCTTATAATAAGAGGTGAATGTGATTTCCCTTTTTCAACAAAAAACTTAGGTTCATGGAGAGTGAGGATGAACCAAGATTACATAATCAGTGGTAAACTTGGGATTTACCTTAGGTTTCCTCGACTGTCCATTCTCTACCTTTATGAATATTGCACATCTCTTCCCACCTAACCTCTCTGGGTTTTCTCTTATTTCTCTGTAAAAGGATATGGTTGAGAGTCCTTTCATGGCCTAACCTTTTATGATTTCTAAATTTAACAAGTTTCTTATTGGCTTCTCTACCTATTTTTTAATGTGTCAAGCATATGCTAATTTAGGTAATAACACTGACTTCTATTTTTTATGTTTTTAATAACCATAACAAGGAAATAATTCAGTGCCTTGATGGAAGGGTTTATATTAGAAGCTCTGAGCATATACGTGGTTTTTTTTTTTTTTTTTTAGTTTTCAAAGGTTAACCTTAGAGATTATGTCATTTAACTCCTTATTTGCAGAGAATAAAACTGGACCCCCAAGACATCATAATGTTCTCTAGTTTACGTACCTAGTAATAGAACTAGAATCAGTATCTGGCTCTTTTGTTTTCCAGGCCAGTTCATATTTTTTTCATTATACCATGCTGAAGCAATAGGGATTTCAGGCAACATGTGATCATGAGTGCTGGAATTCTTTGCATCAGGTCGTTAGGACTCAGAATGGAGTATGCACAACCGCAGAATATAAAAGCCTTTACTGGCAAACAGCATAACAGGGCTAGCCTTACTGTGTGACTTCTCAATACCATATAATAATAAGAGGTCATGAACTTGATGTTACTTACTATTTTTCTGAAAAAATGAACACTGAGTCCAAGTGTTCTAAGTCCAAAATTTGAGACAGTTTACATCTATAAAATTCTTAGACAAAAAAGGATATTTAAGTGACTGTTCAACTACTCAGTTTGAAAGCAAAGTCTTTTAGTAATAATCTGAATATTTTTATTTTAAAAAATAAACTAAATAGGTTTATAGACTTTTAATTTTTAAATGTCAGAACTGAAACCTTAACCCAAGGATTACAAATTCAAATGTGTCTAAGGGCTAGATAGTTCGGTGGCTAGAGCATTGTCCCAATATTCCAAGCTTGCGTGTTTGATCCCCATTCAGGACACATACAAGAATCAATCAATGAACACATATAAGTGGAACAACAAATCCCCCCCCCCTTCTTTTCTATCTCAAAAAAAAAGAAGAAATACATTATTTTTATGTGAAACTTCTCAATATTAAAATAATGTCAACTTGAATTTAAAAGCATTTCAAGCACATCTGTGAGCCAATTTGATTTTTCAGTTTATAACCTCTGCTTAACAAAAAAAGGTCATTGGTGATACTTTTAAACATTCCAACAAAGCCAAATGGAGTATTCCTTGTACTCGTGAGGCATTTGAAGTTGGAAAGAATGGAGGCTTAGTCTCTCTTTCTGTAAGTTCATTATTGGTGTATAGAAATGCCATAGTCTTCTTGGCATTAATTTTGTATCCTGCTATATTGCTGAATTTATTTATTAAGTCTAATAATTTTTTTAATTGTCTAAAGTGTTTTATTAATAGTAACACTTCAGAGTTAAATGTTCTTTCCTTGCAGATTCATGCCTTAAAAATTATCTTTCAAATATAAATATTTGAAATAAAATTTTATTGGGGTCTACTATATTCCAGGTGGATACAATAATAGGTAATACAGAAGGTCTATTGTCATGGATCTTACATAACACAAATCAGCCACCATTTACTCATTTGTCCAATGTATATTTTAATTTATTTTTTATTAAGGTATTATATGCGTACATATCTTACCATTGCCCTCCCCCCCACTCCCATACCTGCCCTTCCTCCGCAGAGTTTTTTATCCATTGGTTATGCTTATATTCATGCATACAAGTCCTTGGGTTGATCTCTTATCTTCCCCATATCTCCCTACCCTCCTCGCTGTAATTTGAGAGTCAGTTTGTTGCTTTACTGTCTCTGTATCTATCTTTTTGTTCATCAGTTTATAATGTTCTTTATTATCCATAAATGAGTGCGGTCACGTGGTATTTCTCTTTCATTGACTGACTTATTTCACTCAACCTAATGTTCTCCAATTCCATCCAGGTTGCTGCAAATGATAAGAATTCCTATTTTATGGCAGCATACTATTCCTTTGTATAGATGTACCATAGTTTTTTGATGAAATCATCTGCTGACTGGCATCTAGGCTGTTTCCAAATTCTAGCTATTGTAAATTGTGCTGCTATGAACATAGGAGTGCATATATCCTTTCTGATTGGTGTTTCTGGTTTCTTAGGATATATTCCTAACAGTAGGATTACTGGGTCAAATGGGAATTCCATTTTCAGTTTTTTGAGGAAAGTCCATACTTTCTCCACAGTGATTGCACCAGTCTGAATTCCCACCAGCAGTGCACAAGGGTTCCTTTTTTTCCACAACCTTTCCAACACTTGTCGTTTGTTGATTTGTTGATGCTGGCCATTCTGACATGTGTGAGATGGTACAGCATTGTTGTTTTGATTTGCATCTCTCAGATAATTAGTGACTTTGAGCATGTTTTCATGTGCTTCTTGGCCTTCCTTCTGTCTTCTTTTGAAAAGATTCTATTTAGGTCCATTGCCCATCTTTTAATTGGATCATTTATCTTCCTTTTATTAAGTTGTATAAGCTGTCTGTAGATGTTGGAGCTTAAATCTTTATCAGTGATAACATTTGCAAATATGTTCTCCCATACAGTGGGCTTTCTTGTTGTTTTGTTGATGGTTTCTTTTGCTGTGAAAAAGCTTTTTATTTTGATGTAGTCCCATTTGTTTATTTTCTCTTTAGCTTCCATTGCTCTATGGGCAATATCAGTGAAGAAGTTCTTTTGGCATATGTCAGAGATTTTGCTGCCTGTGGATGCCTCTAGTATTTTTATGGTTTCCCGTCTTATGTTTAAGTCCTGTATCCATTTTGAGTTTATTTTTGTGTATGGTGTAAGTTGATGATCTAGTTTAATTTTTTTGCAAGTATCTGTCCAATTTTCCCAACACCATTTTTTGAAGAAACTGTCTTGACTCCATTTTATGTTCATACCTCTTCTGTTAAATATTGAGTATAGAGGTTTGGGTCGATATCCGGATTCTCTATTCTATTCCATCGATCCACATGTCTGTTCCTGTGCCAATACCAGGCTGTTTTGAGAACAGTGGCTTTGTGATACAGCTTGAAAAATGGTATTGAGATCCCTCCTACTTTATTCTTCTTTCTCAGGATTGCTGTGGCTATTTGGGGTCTTTTTTTTGTTCCAGATGAATTTTTGGAGAGTTTTTTCTAGGTCTGTGAAGTATGCTGTTGGTATTTTAATAGGGAGTGCATTGAACCTATAAATTGCTTTGGGAAGTATGGACATTTTCATTATGTTGATTCTATCAATCCGTGAACATGGTATGTTCTTCCATCTCCTTACATCTTCCTCTGTCTCTTTTTTCAGTGTCGTGTAGT